CCCCAGATATTGTTTTTATACTAAGGGAAAATGCACCAAAACGATAGGTGAGATTGAGAGCTGCTATTTGTAACGTGTTCTTTTGTGGTTTTACTTTTGGTTTAATTTTTTTCATGGCACTTTCAAAGCAGATAGGTCACATAGATCAGAAAATTAGAGGTGTTATTTTAGAGTAACATTCAAAGAAAAGAAAATAGAAAGGAAAAGACGATTAATGTTTAATATGTAATGACAAGGGGAGCAAACTACAGAACACTAGCCAACCACCCACTAAAGGTTTCCATCAGGTAAAATTGATAGTGTCACCAATTATAAAGTGTGTGTTACTGACAACCGCACTAAATAAAGTCAATTTTAAAAAACAATGTTGATCACATCAAGTAGGCTACTATCTTACGGAGTACGAACCCAATCAACGCTTGGCGGGAAGCCTGTTTGAGTTGGGGAAAGTTAGATCACATATGGAGCAACAAAAGCGGCCTAAGAGAAATGATCGTGCTGAGGGAATTCTTAGCATGTATTACAATTTATTCAAGTTATGATTACACGTCTCTTGACCGCCGCATGTAGTGTAGCGGTTAGACGCTTAAGCTGTCATTGTTACACTCACAGAACCATTCCCGTGTGGGGTGAATCTTTAGCGAGTATTTACGACTCTCTGCTCGAGTGTTGTGTCCCTCTCAGCATGGTTTGACCCTAGCAGGCATCCTGGCTACTTAATAATCTCAATAGTGTCGACATAGTGTCAATTTTTATCTTTTTTATTTTATTTATTTTTGGGGGGTAGGGGGCGTAAAACTTCTATAGTTACAATTCCATAACATATCCTGAGGTATAAAATTTACCCAGCGATTAACTCTATGACAAGAGTAAAAAGACATCTGTTGGTATTCGACTTAACCAACCTTGTATCCGCCAAATTATGTCAAGCACTTCTTTTGTCTGAAATGATATTAATCACAGCAGTATCTACAAATATTGATACTATAATAAGTTTAATGACCACTGCACAAAATGTTTGACCGATTCTGAAAGATAATAAGAAAGAAATAACAAAAGAGGTCGACATAATTTGACAGATATATACACGAGTAGAGTTGGTTCCTTTATTGTGTCAACACTTTTTTGTGTTACCTTTTAAGCTCTTTTACGTTATAATGGTCTACTTCCTGAATGGCTGCACAACAGAGATACGGATTATTTTTTTTAAACCACCAAAAAAAGCAAACAAAGGGGGCAAAATCAACTCTTTGGAAATGCAGTGGAGAAATAATCGATCAGCAGCAGACAAAAGATTTTACGGCACATTTAGAACCATTATACATAAACCAACATAGTACGTATTTGCGTGTTTCAAAGCACACATGTTGTTGCTTGCCTTTGTAAGTTTCAGGTAAAGAAATCAATATTGAAAAAAAATCTGTATGAAAAAGATATTTATACTTCTTTTTCAAAGTGCCCTAAAGCAGAGTGACTTCAAGCGTTGTCAAATAACCAGAATATGAGCTCTCAATGAGTTAATGATAATATTGTCTTTATTGTCTCTTTAAACACCCTCACATTAATCAGCTCTCCTTCCTGGTTGGTCGTCCATAATCGAGGTAGGAACTGACACCTAAAAACCCCACCAAAACAAACAAAACAACCTGGGTTACAAATTAAAAAGCCTGGCAAGTGTACAGTCCCAATCTTGTCCGTGCTTACCGTTATCAGACCTTATAAAGAAAGGAGTTTAGTCATATAGTCTTGCATTTGTAATTCACCGTATAATTAGGTGCACTAACATTACAGCAAAACTTTCCATTGATCTGAAAACATCGAAACAACGAGCTACAATAGTCAGATTTTATCGCAATAAGGACCTGTGGAACACGTTTTTTTCAGCCTCCGTATTACCAGCGTGACTTTGACATTAAAAGCCAAAAAGAGGAAACTGTGAATTACCTTCTCAGTTTTAACTTAATTAGGAAAATCATATTATAATCAAATGCGATCATTCAATAACTTGAGAGTACCTTTCGAAGCGAATTCCCAATCGATTTTAGTATCATCCATTGTAAAGGAAAGCACCACGCACACACAGAACGTGAAATAAAAAAATATGACTAACTTATCCAATGCGGACACGAACCAGAAAGTCCCCCACCCACCGGAACGTATGAAGTACATTCACTCACGCACGCTCAGACCCCTCGTGCGAGTCTCATTCACCGCTCATCTTCAAACTCGGCCGTGCGACGCGACGCAAACGCGAGACAGCGAAATGCGCATGGTTCAGGGAAAAGGGAAAGGGGCAGGGGGGTTGCGGTTGACTTTAGGCAGGGGGAGAGGTCGATTTTGTGAGGGTCTTGGGAGAAGGGGGGAAGGGGGGGGGACAATGCGCGTCATCTCGTAAGCCGATGTCAGAATGAGGATGGTTGGGAGTAGGGGTGGAGGCTGGAAGAGGGGTAAGAGGAGAAATAGGAATGAGGAAGGCGAGGGAGGGATAAGGAAAAGGAGACAAACTTTGGGGAGGAGGGAATGGGGTAGACAGGTCAGAGGAAA